TGGACAGTTCTCTGAAAACTTCCACGCAGTGTGAAGCGGCTGTCAAAAAGGCAAATAGGATGCTAGGAATTATTAGGAAAGGGATAGAAAATAAGACCCAGAATATCTTACTGCCCCTGTATAAAACTATGGTACGCCCACATCTTGAATACTGTGTACAGATGTGGTCTCCTCACCTCAAAAAAGATATTTTGGCCTTGGAAAGAGTTCAGAAAAGGGCAACTACAATGATTAGGGGTTTGGAACGGGTCCCATATGAGGAGAGGTTAAAGAGACTGGGACTTTTCAGTTTAGAAAAGAGGAGACTGAGGGGGGATATGATAGAGGTATATAAAATCATGAGTGGTGTGGAGAGGGCTGATAAAGAAAAGTTATTTATTAGTTCCCTAAACAGAAGTACTAGAAGATACCAAATGAAATTAATGGGTAGCAGGTTTAAAACTAATAAAAGAAAGTTCTTCTTCACACAGCGTGTAGTCAACCTGTGGAACTCCTTGCCAGAGGAGGCTGTGAAGGCTAGGACTATAATAGAGTTTAAAGAGAAGCTAGATAATTTCATGGAGGTTAGGTCCATAAAAGGCTATTAGCCAGGGGATAAAATGGTGTCCTTAGCCTCTGTTTGTAAGGGGCTGGAGAGGGATGGCAGGAGACAAATCACTAAATCATTGTCTTCAGTCCACCCTCTCTGGGGCACCTTGTACTGGCCACTGTCGGCAGACAGGATACTGGCCTAGATGGACCTTTGGTCTGACCCAGTACAGCCGTTCTTATGTTCTTAGTGCCTTCCTGGTATTTTTATGAAAAGAAGTTCTGGAATAAAATGCTACTATGTATAAACTAACTGAGATGCTCTTCATAAATGAAAATCATGTCATAAACCTGATGCTATTCATTCCTATTCGCTAAGAGCTATAGTTTATCATTACCATCTAACAGTGAATGATGGCTTTTAAAGCCAGTTCCATTTCTCCACAGAGGCTGAATTCGCTAAATCATTTATGAATGTCATGGACTGACATTTTTCTAACAACATAATGAGTTTTCGGCAGTTCAGGCCATAAGAATCCTCCATTTGTCCATGCTCTTTTGCCAGTTTAAAAAAAATAAGAGCATTCTCTGTGTTTGTGTCTTTACTTACACTGACCATTATTAACATTCCTAAATTAATCACACAAACAACATCTAGAGCCAAGCAAACATGAATAAGCTTCTACAGCACAGAAAAAGAAACCACACTGATCTCATTGGCGATGACTCAAAATATACAGACCTTGGAGATCGTAAGAGACAGAGATAATTTAGCATGAATTATCTGTACCGAAAACCTCAGCTCCTCAGACTTCAACGAACTGCTTTCAGTGGATAAATTTACGAAAGAGTTCTTTACTAAGGTCTCAGCTAGAGAGCCTGCTTTAGTTCCATATTGTAGGTAGGGGTACACCATATTTTGAGCAATGGAGGAAGGGGGGAAAAAACTACCAAGAGAGAAAAACAAAACCACGCACACACACACACACAGAGCAGAGTGAGCTTGCAGCAATACAGACATCCCTTGCTTCTGAAAACTCTCCTTTGATTCTCAAATTTGGGGAGCAAAGGACGTAAATCCTCTGTCATTTCCAGAAGGAAAGGAACAAATCCCTTCCATCAACATCACACGTCAGGAAATTCTATGAATAGAAGCCAGCTAGTCCAGATACACAGGACTATTCCATGTATGGGAACATCAGGTCCTCCACTATTAACATCTCATATAGCACCAACAGCAGAAACTAGTATTGACCCCTGTATTTAGGTTGCCTAATAACACATTATAAAGGTCTCTTGTGACATTTTCTATGAGGAGCTCTCATGCATCCATTAGTTGTAGATGACCTTTCATATTTAGCAGGGGATAGACCTTTAAGGTAGGGAATTGCCTTTGCTTTGTCCCATAAAATTCCATTCAGCTTGTGCTGAGACAAACTGTCAGAAATTGCCCTTTTCCCTTCTATCATGTGTTCTTCAGGAAAACATTATCAGCACACTGAAACAATAACCCAACACAAACATTCTAAGGCTAGGTTCATGCTAACACAAAAGCAGCAACGGTCATAGGAATGCCTGGTAGTTGACAGAGTGATTGTCAGGTGGGGAGGGAAGTGAAAAGAGATGGGACCCACCCCAGGATCAGCAGTCCAGTTCAGGTCCATCCAACACCATCCCCTTATGGGAAACTAAACCTTTCCCTGCTTCCAGCTAATGTACTTAGTCCTGAGTTCCAGAGGTTGTAGTCTGTGATGCAATATTGATGGTTCAGGGTTCAAACCTTAGTGACAGAGTGTGACTGGGGGGAGGGATGCTGAAGTTGTACATAATGTGCTTTTTTACCTTCTTCTTTCAAAAAAAAAACCCCTAGGAAATTACAGGTTTTTCCTATGTTAAAAGAGTATTATTGATATTACAAAGAGTCCAACTCCAAAAGCATGGTTAGGAAATACCAAACTTATGATTGCCCATGCAGCCCTAATTCACAACTGTTGTGCTCATGTGTTATTGTACAGTCTTTAATTACATAATCAAATACTATTTTTCTCCTGCATGACTCCTGCCTTATTCTCTGCACAGGTGGGCAAACAAGGCAGTAGAATTAGTATTGTGCAGGCACACAAATCTGATATTTCCTAGCTTTTGTATGTTTGACATTGCAACTTAAACAACAGTCCTCTAGCGTGGGGTGTGAGATTGTATGTCATATAACAAGAGCGTCACTCAAGCTCGGCAACAATTAAGTACAATAGGAGAGGCAGATACATTAGTCTCCCTGAATGTTTGAAATAACATAAGGAAGAGTATACAAGAGTTTCACAGAGCAACATCTATCATTCAGTCTTCAATTTTCCAACTATATAAAGTGAGATTATTGATAAATGTGCAGAGCAGGTCAAATTTAAATATTAACTTGAATTGGCATGGAGAATACTCAGCACTATGTAAGTTTGGGCCCTATGCCAAAGCAAATAGCACAGAATTACCTCTAAGAGTCAGAAATGCAGAAGTCTTCTCATTTGGTTGCTGTAAACTGCATTTCACTATTTTTCCAAATGACTGAAAGAGTTTCCCTACTTAGTGACAGGCCAAGGAATCTGCC